CAATTTCACTGAAGAAATAGTTATGGATAATAAAGAAATATCGTCCATAACTGCAACATCATTAGCAAACTCAATCTCGCCACCCTTGTCAGTTGCATCCATGACACCGTCGCCCGAGTGTGTCAGACGCTCACCGAAAGCAACTATTTGTAGTGCCAGGCGCCATGTGTCTTACAGCATAGACAGTATCCTTGGGACAAACAATCAACAATCGGGATCGCCATCTTTCCAAGACGCCAGTCTCGAATCCTCCACGAATTCAGGTAATGCTTCAATAGTTGTTTCTTTCATTATCATCTTCGTCGCGTTGTTGTTATTGTTGTTGTCGTTGTTCCTGTTGTTCCTGTTGTTCCTGTTGTTATTGTTTTGTTGTTCCTGTTGTTATTGTTGTTGTCCTTTTTCTTCTTCTTCTTCTTCTTCTTCTTCTTCTTCTTCTTCTTCTTCTTCTTCTTCTTCTTCTTCTTCTTCTTCTTCTTCTTCTTCTTCTTCTTCTTCTTCTTCTTCTTCTTCTTCTTCTTCTTCTTCTTCTTCTTCTGTTATTATTGTTATTATTGCTGTTGTTGTTGCTGCTGCAGCAACCAAAACGACTAAACAACTACCACTACTTCTAGCAATACTGCTACTGCTGTTGACACTGCTTATGCTCCTAAAACTACCACCACAAACATCAATGCTACAACAACAACAACAACAACTACTACTACTACTACAACAACTACTACTATTACTACTACTACTACTATACTTCTACAACAACAACAACTACTACTACTATTACTACTACACACTACAGCTACTACTCATTCCTATTATTGTATATTAATATTATATTAGACATCTTCGGACCTCTGACATATAAGACAACCTACACAGAAATAGATTACGAATGGCGTGCTTAACGGAGCAAATTACAGTAAGAACCCAGAAAGCAGTTATTTTGTCTGTCTATGGTAACATACAAATATGAGTCATGCAATGAACATGAGAGTCTAGACTTCTGCTGGATCTAAATGTTACATAGATATTTTTGGTGCACCCTGGATTAACCAGCAAACAAGACTATTTAACAGAGGGCCATATCACTGAGAGGAAGCAGCAGTGATGTAGCGATTGGACGCTCGCCCGTAGATCCGAAGGTTGTGAGTTCAAGTCCTGATTGAACATGAGCCCTCTTCCCCCACCCTAAAATGTTTTTGGCTCCCAAATCGACCTAGCCTTAGATGAGTACCACACAGAGTCCTGGGAAATAAGGGTGAATTTTAGAGAAAACAAAACAGACCTTCTGCCCCTTAAGAGGTGACTAATTAGGGAGTTTTTCCTGCAATGTCAAAGTGCATCGGCCTGAGAAGCTAGGAACCAACAGTCTGCACACAAATACGCCAGATCCGTAAACCAGATGTGTACTAAAGCTCAAATTCGGATCAAGACTAACATCCAGAAGTGGGAGAACGGCCAGAACTTCCTGCCGGTGTTGACGGCCATTGAACGCAAAGAAAAAGGGAGAAGATGAGATTTGAAAGGAGTCAAGGGCCCACATAACAGCCCTCAAGATGTTGCCATAAGAGCAGCGTCTGCGTCCTCAACAGTTAGAGCAAAGCTCCACTTCCGATGGACCTTTATCGGTTTGTTATATGTCCGTCTTGTCTTTCCCTTGAATGTAGTCTCGCCAGATCTCCTGGTCACTTCTAATGACCCATTTCTCTCTACACCGTGATGATCTTGTGTAATTTTCATTTGCACGCATGAGCTCACCTAGCTTGTCACGCATCCATTGACCACCAAATAGAGCAGCACCAGCCAATCTGTCTGCCTGTTTGTTTCCCAGTATACCAGGAAGCTATGAAAACAAGATCCAAAGCACACTAACTACCGGGGACCACTAAACAGAGCCTTGCCACTCTAATGAAAAAGATGGTTCCCAAATAAACAAGTCGTTGTCCCTCAAGAACATGGACACGGATACTGAAGATATATTGTTTACTGAGACAACAACCAGGGATGCGAACTGACAGTGTAATGAAGACTCTCGTCACATGTCAGTAGTCAAGAGAGCAACGTCTGGAAAGTTCCTGCTGGCTGATGAGGATGTTTGATTGATATGAACAATATTTCTTTCACCGAAAACAGTGACAACTAATGCAACAGTACACTGTGAACGTAATGTCCCTCTAATTTCACCCGATATTAATGACAAAATATTACATAACTCGTCTTATTTCTGTTAGTTTTCCAAAAAAAAAAAAAAAATACTTGTATCTATTTTAATTTTGAATCGCCGTGGTGTAGCGGCTAGACGTTAGTCTGCGGATCCGCCGGTCATGAGTTCAAGTCCTGACGGTGATGCATAAGAAAAAAAAAAAAAACTGACATTGGACCCAGGTCGACCCAGCTTTTAATGAATATCAGGTGACAGTCATGACAACTAAAGGAGGTCGGCGTGATACTGACTACATCATCCATCAAGTGCCGATTGGTCTATAAAATGTAGGTCTAGCCCTATAGGCCCAATAAGCATAAAAGCCTGGAAAAAGGTCTTTTAAATTATTGTATAATTCCTTCACTCTTTCAGCCACAGAACTTTTCACGGAAGTTGCTTAAGGAGAGAAATACAAAATTTCAAAGCGGCATCTGGGAATGCCAAATATAAAACTTAACATGGTGCGCCGATATTTGGGATTCACGAGAAAGAGTTTATCCCACATGATTTGCTGTCTAGGCCCTAAAGATTCAAGTTGAAACTCACTAGCCATACTCAGTGCTGTTCAATTGGCGGCCAGCAGGCCAGGGGCCATTGTCAGTTGTGTCTCTGCTGGGGCGGGCATCTCTGGCCTGTAACGATTCCAGTTTCAACGTCTCGGCCCCTGGGTAGAGTTAGTCCAATAGGCTGCCCTAAATCATGAACAAGTTACACAATTCTTGTAGGGAATTTACCTCCCACATTTCCAGCTAAACAGTATTTAGCTGTTGTAGACTAATGCACATGTCAGAGATAAGATGCTGCACATAATATAGAGGGAGCGCTGTCGCCATTACAGTTCCAGCCGAACTTGTTTAATTAATATTTTTGCGCAAAGTGAAACAAGAAGAAAAGATGTTCGTTTTTAATTTAATGAATCACGCGTGAACTGTAATATTTCAGGTTATTAATAATAATTAAAAGACATGTTGTTTAGGGTTTTATCAAGTTTGTGAGCAAATTATCTTTTTAAGTTTGCTTTCTTTCGCACGATAAAATGTTTCTGAAGTAGCACCTACCACTGTCTTTAGCCACGAGTCGTCACAGTACATGCAGTTTTAAAAAGTGTTTCAAACTGCTACCGTTGATCACAGCTTTAGCACAGCGATCACACTCCGTAGCACCTGCAATGATACCAAGAATTAACTATGCCGGTGGTTTCCAAATAGCTAAGACCAAAGTATTTGTCTTAATTCATAAGATCTGCCATGTTCCTCAACTTTTCAATAGAATATATATATTCATCATCAAGTGCCCAGCCGTGGGCGATCATGCCTCTAAAACAATCTGCAACTTACATCTTCTCATAACATGACCAAACAATGATGACTCTCCTTTTCTGATGTTTGTGGTAAGTTGTCTTCCAGCGCTCGCCTCTTTCAAACGTATGGGGGTGCTCTTCTTGGCTGTCCAAGGAATTCTAAGCATTCTTCTGTAAACCCACATCTCTGAGGCCTCAAGATATTCTTCGGCTTGTTTATTAATTAACCAGGCACCACCGCCGTATGTTACTACTGGCTCTATATAGCATGCACGGTTTCTTTTCCTAACCTCCAATATATATATATATATATATATATATATATATATATATATATATATAAGATAAAAAGACCTTATAAATGCAGTGGTACCTCGGTATGCTTTCTGCTAGAAATTGTGTCAACATAAGTTCACGAACCCCAACTGATGGATGTCAATGACTGCAGAGAAGTATCACTTCCACAAAGCCCTAAAGAGCCACAATTAATTGTCTCGAATGGCCAGGATAAGTCAGAAGCTCAGTTCTTTGGGCAATAATTAGTTTAAGTCAAGGCTGGTAAGCCTTACACAGGTCCAAGTCAGGACAAGAGTTTAAATAACAGACCATAATTTCAAGTTTCTCAAGTTTTATTGGAGGGAGACTCTTCTTCCAAACATTAACATCCTTTCCTCCTCCCTGTCTTCTTCCAAACATTAACATCCCTTCCTCCTTCCTTCTCATCACAGCCTTAATAGGCACTCGACTTTTCTCAGTAAGGTCAAGTGAGGTTACATTTTTATTTAGATCATTTAAATATTTTCAGTTTATTTATCTTAGTGTCATGCAATATTTAAGATAGGTTAGACATCCCTCCATCAGTATATAATATGAAAAAAAAAAAAAAAAAACAGAAATATTCTCATCACTTGAACGGATTTATCATTCAGCCATTATTTTTTAAAGGAACATTTGTCTGTTACACCTACCATCTGGCACGCGTCCGAGTATATGGAAAGGTTTAAGGACACATACTAAGATATCCCTGTATTAACACCACCAACAATTAGAACGGTTTAAGGACACGTACCAAGATACCTGTGTATTAACATCACAAACAATTAGAACCGCAAAAAATAAAATAAAAAGCAAGATTCTTGACTTAAATGCCTTTTTTGTTTGTTTGTAATGATATCACGGATCCTATTTAAGTGTTCGCGGATAATCACATGGCAAACACGGACCTATATTCTATTTTCTGTTGGTTTCATTACTTACATAATGTCCACAGACAAAACTGGCTATCACCCGAAATACAGTATTTGAAAGCAACGATAGCGTGATCACCAACGCCAGTCACGTCGGCTGCAACCGTTACCTCCATCATCACTACCAACAACAACAACATGCGTTTCCTCTACCGTCTCAACATCACACAGACAGTGTCATTAACCGCAACATCTCTGAACATTTTCGCTTTGCGACCGATAGCAAAGACCTACAATCTCCACCACTGTCCTCCCAAACTGTTATTAGGAAGCAGAACGATGTATCTTTAGGGCATCAGACACAGCTGACGCCATCACCTCCTGCAGCGCCGTCAACAAATTCTGCTGACGCATCTTCTGTCCAACGTTATTCTGCAGAGAGCCCCAGTGAAGATGAGTCTCACAGAGAAGAATCAAGTCTTCACGGGGATAATGTTCACGATTACAGGTAAGATGTGTGTCCTGTACACATACACTCCCACACACGCACTCATAACACACGCACGCTCGCAGACGTGCACACAAAATACATGTTCACACACATATCCACACAACATATATTTACAAAACCCCACACACGCACACACATCCACACAACATATATTTACAAAACCCCACACACGCACACATATTCAAAGGCCTAAATATTTAATCATTACATCTTTTCACCACATCCTCATCACCGCATCCTTATGTATAATTTACTACACCAGAAGTGCAAAATTTGCTACATTTCCCCTCCACCTTATCATCATAGCTTTCATCGTTGAAATAATAATAATAATAATAATAATAATAATAATAATAATAATAATAATAATAATAATAATAATAATAATAGTAATAATTTAATAATAATATTCAAGATGCGCACAAAAAGATTCATCAGTCCCAAAAACTGAAAAGGGTCATGTAGAAAAGGCTAAAATGAAAGAAATGAGAAAAGTTCAAACAGTTAGTGATATTGCGAAACGAAAGAAACACGTCAGATTTTGGGGTTGGGTGATAAAAGATAGGGAACACGTGTAAAAAATTATTATATAGATAAAAAATGTTACACGGCTTCATATGTTGCTGAGACAGTCGAGTTATGTCGCCTCTGGAATAGGAGTTGGCGGGTACACGGATGATGTAGTGTTGCTAACTGGAAAAGAAAGGGGTAGAGGGTTGGGGGGGGGGGGGGGGGAAACACACACACACACAAAAATATTTGCAGCAATGTTTGTACATTATAATAATGGAGTGTACAAGAAACAGGTTTCAGTGCGCAGGTCAACAAAAAGTTGACATGTTTGGCGGCAGTTATAACCTCTGATGGAAGATGAGTTATAGAGATTAAGAGCAGGATATGTCAAGTGGAGGTGGCATTTCGAAAGATGCAAACAATTTCATGCAACCAGTCTCTCTCATTAAACACAAGAAAAATAGTACAGAAATGATACACTGAACCAGTTCTGCTGTATGGCGGTGGATCTTGGAATGTTATGTTGAACCAGTTCTGCTGTATGGCGGTGGATCTTGGAATGTTATGTTGAACCAGTGCTGCTGTATGACAGTGAATCCTGGGATGTTATGTTAAACCAGTGCTGCTGTATTGATGTGAATCCTGGGATGTTATGTTGAACCAGTGCTGCTGTATGACAGTGAATCCTGGGATGTTATGTTAAACCAGTGCTGCTGTATTGATGTGAATCCTGGGATGTTATGTTGAACCAGTGCTGCTGTATTGATGTGAATCCTGGGATGTTATGTTGAACCAGTGCTGCTGTATGACAGTGAATCTTGGGATGTTATGTTGAACCAGTGCTGCTGTATTGATGTGAATCCTGGGATGTTATGTTGAACCAGTGCTGCTGTATTGATGTGAATCCTGGGATGTTATGTTGAACCAGTGCTGCTGTATTGATGTGAATCCTGGGATGTTATGTTGAACCAGTGCTGCTGTATGGCAGTGAATCCTGGGATGTTATGTTGAACTAGTGCTGCTGTATGAGTGAATCCTGGGATGTTATGTTGAACCAGTGCTGCTGTATGACAGTGAATCCTGGGATGTTATGTTGAACCAGTGCTGCTGTATGACAGTGAATCCTGGGATGTTATGTTAAACCAGTGCTGCTGTATTGATGTGAATCCTGGGATGTTATGTTGAACCAGTGCTGCTGTATTGATGTGAATCTTGGGATGTTATGTTGAACCAGAGCTGCTGTATGACAGTGAATCTTGGGATGTCATGTTGAACCAGTGCTGCTGTATGACAGTGAATCTTGGGATGTTATGTTGAACCAGAGCTGCTGTATGGCAGTGAATCCTGGGATGTTATGTTGAACCAGAGCTGCTGTATGACAGTGAATCCTGGGATGTTATGTTGAACCAGTGCTGCTGTATGACAGTGAATCCTGGGATGTTATGTTGAACCAGTGCTGCTGTATGGCAGTGAATCCTGGGATGTTATGTTGAACCAGTGCTGCTGTATTGATGTGAATCCTGGGATGTTATGTTGAACCAGTGCTGCTGTATTGATGTGAATCCTGGGATGTTATGTTGAACCAGTGCTGCTGTATTGATGTGAATCCTGGGATGTTATGTTGAACCAGTGCTGCTGTATGGCAGTGAATCCTGGGATGTTATGTTGAACTAGTGCTGCTGTATGAGTGAATCCTGGGATGTTATGTTGAACCAGTGCTGCTGTATGACAGTGAATCCTGGGATGTTATGTTGAACCAGTGCTGCTGTATGACAGTGAATCCTGGGATGTTATGTTAAACCAGTGCTGCTGTATTGATGTGAATCCTGGGATGTTATGTTGAACCAGTGCTGCTGTATTGATGTGAATCTTGGGATGTTATGTTGAACCAGAGCTGCTGTATGACAGTGAATCTTGGGATGTTATGTTGAACCAGTGCTGCTGTATGACAGTGAATCTTGGGATGTTATGTTGAACCAGAGCTGCTGTATGACAGTGAATCTTGGGATGTTATGTTGAACCAGAGCTGCTGTATGGCAGTGAATCCTGGGATGTTATGTTGAACCAGTGCTGCTGTATGACAGTGAATCTTGGGATGTTATGTTGAACCAGTGCTGCTGTATGACAGTGAATCTTGGGATGTTATGTTGAACCAGAGCTGCTGTATGGCAGTGAATCCTGGGATGTTATGTTGAACCAGAGCTGCTGTATGGCAGTGAATCCTGGGATGTTATGTTGAACCAGTGCTGCTGTATGGCAGTGAATCCTGGGATGTTATGTTGAACCAGTGCTGCTGTATGGCAGTGAATCCTGGGATGTTATGTTGAACCAGTGCTGCTGTATGGCAGTGAATCCTGGGATGTTATGTTGAACCAGTGCTGCTGTATGGCAGTGAATCCTGGGATGTTATGTTGAACCAGTGCTGCTGTATTGATGTGAATCCTGGGATGTTATGTTGAACCAGTGCTGCTGTATTGATGTGAATCCTGGGATGTTATGTTGAACCAGTGCTGCTGTATTGATGTGAATCCTGGGATGTTATGTTGAACCAGTGCTGCTGTATGGCAGTGAATCCTGGGATGTTATGTTGAACTAGTGCTGCTGTATGAGTGAATCCTGGGATGTTATGTTGAACCAGTGCTGCTGTATGACAGTAAATCCTGATATGTTATGTTGAACCAGTGCTGCTGTATGACAGTGAATCCTGGGATGTTATGTTAAACCAGTGCTGCTGTATTGATGTGAATCCTGGGATGTTATGTTGAACCAGTGCTGCTGTATTGATGTGAATCCTGGGATGTTATGTTGAACCAGAGCTGCTGTATGACAGTGAATCTTGGGATGTTATGTTGAACCAGTGCTGCTGTATGACAGTGAATCCTAGGATGTTATGTTGAACCAGAGCTGCTGTATGACAGTGAATCCTGGGATGTTATGTTGAACCAGAGCTGCTGTATGACAGTGAATCCTGGGATGTTATGTTGAACCAGTGCTGCTGTATGGCAGTGAATCTTGGCATGTTATGTTGAACCAGTGCTGCTGTATGGCAGTGAATCTTGGCATGTTATGTTGAACCAGTGCTGCTGTATGACAGTGAATCCTGGGATGTTATGTTGAACCAGTGCTGCTGTATGACAGTGAATCCTGGGATGTAATGTTGAACCAGAGCTGCTGTATGACAGTGAATCCTGGGATGTTATGTTGAACCAGTGCTGCTGTATGACAGTGAATCCTGGGATGTAATGTTGAACCAGAGCTGCTGTATGACAGTGAATCCTGGGATGTTATGTTGAACCAGAGCTGCTGTATGACAGTGAATCCTGGGATGTTATGTTGAACCAGTGCTGCTGTATGACAGTGAATCCTGGAATGTTATGTTGAACAAGTCCTGCTGGGTGGCAGTGGATCTTGGAATGTAAATAAACAAATGAAGAAGAACTTGGAGGCAGTGCAGATGTGCTTTCTCAAACGCATACAGCGAATACCGTTGACTGAGTAACTAACAACAGCTGCCTGAAATGGCTGATGATTTTAAAAAACTATAGACGACTATAAGAAAGAGTTCTTCGTCTCGTGATGAGAAAAGAGACATTAGAGAACACTGTGATGACTGGTAAGATCAATTTTAGGAAAAGCAGAAAAAGACAAAGAGAAACGAAGCTTGATGGCCTGAAGCGACGGCGTGGAGAAATATCTTCAGTTGAGGGTGGGGGAGGGGGAGAGGGTTGGGGTGGTAGGGGGTGGTAATTGCTTGAGAATACCAAGCACCGAGATATGTGCAGAGATATGGTACTCTGCCGCCCGGCAGGACACTTGAGGATGATGCCTAGGCAGGGGCCTATTTGTGGCTGAACTATATCCAGGAGGTGTCAGATTTACGGAATGAAAGTCGATTTATGACTAAGTGAAAAGTGAGATGGGTTCATAACTTGCTGTGGGTGCAGCTTGTAGAAGAACTTCATAGAGAGTACAAATATACGATATCTTTAATAGACTATTATCCATGTGTGAGTTCCGAGACACATGTGGCGGACGAGACGATTGTGTGTGTGTGAGGCGGAGGGTGGGAGTGCTAAGTTTCTGGGAATCGCACCAGTGGGCTCTTCATCCAAATAGTGGCACTTTGTGTCACTAGGTGGTAATTGCTCGTTATGAAGTTTAACGTCGCTAATTCCTAACACCTGCTACTAGTATCCATGTCTCATCACGGTATATCCCATTGTTTATTATTCTTCTAATAATATTCAGTCCAGACAACACTCCAACGTTTTCAGGAACACTTTCCGTGTATGTAGGCCAAAACAAAGTTGGTTCTGCAACGTCCTGTGAAGGATACGCAAGTAACTTTTTATTTCTTTAAAAATGTGGATCAGGCTGGATAAGCACATAACACACGGAGTGCTGACTGGTCTGTAGAATATGTCAAGCGGCATATTTTTTATATGGATCTTATAGAGCCCAATGGCTCTCCCGCTTGCCGACCCGCCCGCCCCATTGATACATGTTCAAATCCACTTCGAATTAGCAATATTTTAGTGGAGCAATGTTTTAGTGGATTGATCTGGTCTACAAATTATCCCATTTTAGATGGAAACCCAAAAATATTCTGGGTGGTAAAGAATTTTGAGTAGCGCTGTTCAGTCTAAAAAAAAAAAAAAAAAATGGAACTAGTTACATTTATTTTTATTAATTTTACTCACAAATCTACTCTCAATGGGGTAATAGAAATTGTTACAACCGTGCCATTGTCTTGTAACCTGTTAGTATTGTTTTTAAGGATGCCAAGATTGTTAAGCATTTGACATAACGGTGAAGATGAATACGGTGACGTCCTAATGACAATATAAAGATAGCCGCACCACCTTTGACATATATCGAAGAGAAAAAAAAAAAAAAAAAATCCAGTAAAGTGATGCCTGCCTCTCAGTGCAGCAAGCGTTTGAGTGAAGTAGGAAGTTGGAACCGTCTCGTCTCAGTGCAGCAAGTGTTTGAGTGAAGTAGGAAGATGGAACCGTCTCGTCTCAGTGCAGCAAGTGTTTGATTGAAGTAGGAAGTTGGAACCGTCTCGTCTCAGTGCAACAAGTGTTTGAATGAAGTAGGAATTTGGAACCGTCTCGTCTCAGTGCAGCAAGTGTTTGAGTGAAGTAGGAAGTTGGAACTGTCTCGTCCCAGTGCAGCAAGTGTTTGAGTGTATGTACAGGCGGCGGTTACACCTTCAAAAAAATGCTACGTCTTTTCTATTGTCTAATTGATCGAGCACCTATTTTCATCTGACTGTTTTTTGGTGAGACTTGAGGTTTGAATTTGGTGCTGCCATGTATTTTAATTATTACATTGGCACCGTTTCTTATTTTGTCTAATTCACTCATTTATTTCTATGAGTGTCCATCAATACGTGCTGTATTTCTCATGTTGCTTGAAAAAAAAATTTCCGTACCATCGGCGCTATGCGGAAAATATAGGCGGATAGTAACAAATCACTTATGCTAACACGATTGCATGATCTCGGAATGAGGCTTTGTGGAGCATGACTTTGCTGTCTTCGAGCTCAAGATAGGAGACCTTGTAACCAACAACACTTTGAAGCGATACGAACAGGCACCCTAGTGGCTGATGAAGCTGAAGAGTGAGCACGCATGAGAAAGCCCCATGTGCAGCGACGTTGACAGCAGTAGCATAAGACAACAACAATAGTTGTAGATTATTTCTATAAATAACTTCAAAAGTAACCCAGATCTTGTTAATAGCCGACAGTGTGGTTTTTGGAAATTTGTTTTCCGACACTGTTTCCAGAACAGAACGAGTCAGAGAAGAAATAGACAGTACAAGAAAACAGACAGAATATACTGACAGAAAACAAACGCTGTGACATTACAACTTCCATAAACAATGAATACAAAAATAAACCGGAAAGATAGGCTTAAAAAAATGGGACTCGGATAAAAAGCGATCGCTTCTTTCAAAGCCTTTTTTCGGGCAATAAAGAACAGGGAACAATCACGAAAATATATAAAACTAAACGAAAAATAGACCAGCGAACTATACAATCTGACAATTCACAAACATAAAGTGAACCCTGCGGCTACAGATCCTTCATCAGCTCACACATAAATCAACAAAACCACACTTACAGGCAAGAATACTCAAAATTTAGTTAATTGACGTATTTCTGATAGCAGCCACTTAGTTGCACTGCCTTCAAACAGGGAAATATAGAAAAACAATTGACACCCGTTTTGGACACAGTGTGGTGCATATTTCCTGTTATATTTGTTCAGGTCCCAAAGTGAGTACGCTGACAACGAGAACGGCAATGACGATGAAAACGGAGGTAAACCAAGAAAAATTCGTCGCAGCAGGACCACGTTTACAACATTTCAGGTGAGTAATTTAATCATTAAAAGCTATAACATTACTTTAGACATTGATGAAAAAGATCTAAGAATAATTAAAAACAAAATTATATTTTGAAACAAGAAGCAGTCACAACAATTGACAACCAAAGCGAAACTCCTCAAAAGATAAACAAGGGCGTTAGACACAGATGTGGTCTTTCACTCGATTTATTCACTTGGTACAATGAAATAATAATTAGATCTGTCAAAGGATTGCCTGGAATATCGGTACACTGCTAACAACCTGCGATATGCTGATGATAATTTAGATCAGTAAAAATGAAACACAGCTGCTAGAAACGATTAACATAATCATAACATAAATTCAAGACAAAGGTCTCGTTTTAAACAGCAGAAAAACAGCAGTAATGGTGATCACCAAGAAAATCGACGCTCTGAAATGTAACATGAAAGTAAATGTTACATGAAAGTATATGGAACGTGAAAGTAAATGGAACATGAAAGTAAATGTAACATGAAAGTATATGGAACATGAAAGTAAATGGAATATGAAAGTAGATGGAACAATCTTCAAGCAAGCTCTTACATTTAAGAACTTTCGTACCCTGATGACGTCAGATTGAATATGCATTGAAGAAGTTATATATAAAATAGCTCAAGCAAAGGCCGCATTTTACAAAATGGAGAATTTCCTATGAAATTGAAACCTTTCTTTCTAAATTGAAACGAGAAAGAGAATCATGGGCTATTGGTCGATAAGTGGACACTTTTGGAAGCTTCGGTAAAAATAGTAAAGTAAAGATCCCTTTACACGCCCTTAGGCGCATCGGGCATATGGGAAGAGCACCCATATTTTTACAGACCATTCGGCACTCGGTGGGTAATGTGGTCAGCATTATGCCGGCCGAAAGCTTCGGTGACATGGTTTTATAGACAAATGATGTTAACGCCTTAGAGAAATAAAAAAGAATAATGATGTTGTTTTGAATTAGACTGATGAACGTAAAGAACAGATTTCCCATATCAGGATGAGACAATCTACATTCTTTAGCCATGTCATGAAAAGGAGAAAACTGGAGTACATCGTGACAGTGGGGAAGCTAGAAGGGAAGAGACACAGAGGGGGATGGGGGTGGGGGCGGCAAGAGAGAAGATGCTGGGCAGTTTTACATCGTGTCACAGAAAATCATATGTGCCAGAGCTGAATGAAAGTACACGAGGCAGAAGGTTGTGGATAGTCATGACTGCCAAAGCCGCACCACATGGACTTTAAAAAAAAAAGAACATGGCTGCGGATACAGGCTTTCACCCGCGCATGCTTTCAATGACAATGAGCATGATCAGGAAAAAAAGAGATAGGCTCGGCCCCAGGACAGTAGCTGGTGTTCCTGACGTGGTCGGAGCTGACAACAGTCGGTTTCAATTTGGTGCAAGGGCATGCAGGCGTGCAAGGAAATGAGCAAGCTGATAGGCTTGCAGGTCTGGCTACCGTGGAGGGTGGACTCACCAAGGCCAAGATTATAAACTCAGTGCTCCCAAGTTCTAGTGAAATGTCCTTGTAATAGAGACGACTGTTTCAATCAAGTTTGATTTAAAAATAAATAAATTCGGATAGGATTATTTACTCAGTACACTTGTAGCCTAGAAAAGGGAACCTGAACTGTCTTCACTACTTTCTCATGTAAGTAAAGATCCATTTTCACGCCTTAGGCGCATCGGGCATACAGAAAGAGCACCCATATTTTTACAGACCAATCGGCACTAGGTGGGTAATGTGGTCAGCATTACGCCAGCCGTCTTTACTTTCCCCGGACAAACATCCTGGTACCCATTTTAGGCTGGGTCGACCTGCGACGCCCCATACCATGTTAACAATCCACGCAGCCAGCAGTGGGTTTCCATCGCGGTACGTTGGAATTACGTGTCGGACTCACAACGCCTAAAGCCACGGACGCTACACTTTCCGTTCAGTTGTCCTTTCCTTGTCCTGCAAATGAACAAACACCACAACTATCATGTTGCCTGCAATCACTCCTCAGTTACATCGTTTGGAGCGAGCGTTTGAGAAGACACAGTACCCGGATGTATTCACCAGGGAGGAGCTTGCCATGACCCTTGACCTTAGCGAAGCCAGGGTGCAGGTGCGTACATCTGTGGTCTGTACGTGGTGTGTGTGTGTGTGTGTGTGTGTGTGTGTGTGTGTGTGTGTGTGTGTGTGTTAAAGTTTTCGTGGCAAAGTGGTCACATTGTTTGCCTCGCTCTCTCATGGTCGTGGGTTCGTTTTGCAGTCTGCGTCTTCTGTTCAGATGTGGCATTTTAACAGAGATTCCTGATAGTCGTCGCTACAGCTAAGAAGTTCGTACTTTGTTCAAGCTGGCGGTAAGCCGTTCTGTGCAAAGAAGTCAATCCTCTCGACTTGATACTTTATTTATCTATGGATGCACGCACGCATTTGTGTAGCATAAGCAAAACTTTTTTCAAAACTGCTAACAGAGAAGCAGTCTGAACCATTCAGACGCCAGTAACGACAAAGCTGTACGGTACAATGGGAGACATGGACCGCATAACATCTGTCATCAAAGCTGCCGGTCTTCTTGTATAGATTTTTCTGAAAGAAGGATCGAAAAAGAAGAAACTACGCTAGTGTCATGTGAACCTAAATTCGTATAATGGATGATACAGATTTCTGGAGAAAGTTCTGAGCAAGGAAAGGAACTGGTCAACTCAAATCTAGTCATCCTTTTATAAAGCGCTTTTAGTGTTTACCCTAACTACTGTATGCACTAAACAAATTGATAATTAAAGTTAACGTTGAAAGGCCTGGAGCCTCGCACAACGCACAATTTGTATAGCCCCAGTGACACCCCAGGGATCTCAGTAAAAATTACTCTTGTGAACTAAACGACAGGTTCTTAAAACGAATCCACGCCCACCATAACGCCGGGCAAACGGCTTGATCACATTACAATGCAGTATGTGCTATATACATTGATTTAAAAACAGTATGATCTTCAACAGTGTTAATATAAGTTATGTACATGTGTATATATATATATATATATATATATATATATATATATATATATATATATATATATATATATATATATACGTCATTAGAGCGGGAAATGTCTGGGTTTTTCCCATTTGGTTTTTGTGACGGCTAAAGTTGAAGTCAGTCGTGTGTATATGTGTGTAGAAAGGACTCAGTTAAATGTGCGACCCCATGCAGTTTCTACTATTGTGTCACAGCCTTCCCCTGTAGTTATGCTAACTGTGTGTTAATACGATCCCGTGTATTAAACCAAACCTGGGAATCTTCAAAGTTGCCCAAGCATTTATGTGTCTTTAGGTCAGAGCTTCGGTTGCCATCTTAACCCAAATCAAGAAGAATCAAGTCTAGAAGTAGTTTCTTTGTCGCCGAGTGTACAGATTTCTGCCCGATTGAGCAGTCAACAAAAGGGGAGACGTTCTAATGAATTTGAGCTGCTTGTTGGGGTGTTCTCAGAGCCGTGGGGTGTTAACCTGCCCGACGATTTGCCTGAATAGACAACAGATTTCAAATAATTGAGGAACCCAGGGTGCGGCCAGAGGTACTTATAAAGACAGGCTCTGATATGAGAACGATCTGACCTTAAGGCACAAAGCCCCAGCATGAGTTTAGTATCGCGAGCTTGGTGAGTCAAAGGCAGGAACTGGATTAATTGGAGGTGTCTTTTTCGTATCCATATTTGAGTACTCGCTCAACTTGAGGCTTCAGTGTTAGGAAATGAAACCGTGCTGCCAAAGACGCGACAAGAGCTAATTGGAGAGGCTGCGAAAGAAAGATTAAGAAGGGCTTCAGATGAAAGAAGAAGCGAAAAGTGGAGCGGGTTGAATAGAATATCAAAACCAGACGCCTTATCGTGCAAAACTGGAATAAAGACCTACCCCTGGCGCGGTTAATGATTCCATAAATGGCTTGATAATAAGAGAGAGGAAAGTGGGTGGGAATTTCTTCAAGTGTGTGGCTAACAGTGACGTTTTTCCTGCAACCTTGAGTTTGATTAATAAACACACTTGTCAGGTCATAGGTCGAGTTGTCGTGACATTGAAAGGACAAATCAAATGCTTAAGCTGTGTGGGGGGAAATGTGTGTTCTCCCTGGTCCCTCTTGACCACTTTTGACCATCTGTTGGCAACGGTAGTCATCATTATTGTGGTTTTCATCGTTATCATCATCTTCATCTTTATAATCATCATCAGCATCATTATCATCATGTCACTACGATCGTTGAAAAGCGTGTTACAACAACGATATTACCCACATAACCATCATCATTAATAATATCATTATCACCATCATCATTATTAACATCATTATTCACCATCATCAAGTGCTCTGTCGTCTGTGTTGACAGTCATGTAGCTTCACAGCTTCAGGACCTCCTCTTGCAAGAATCAGTTCTGTGCTGAAACCCTTTCCAGCCATAACAAAAGGCTGCCAGGAATTTTGTTTTCGATGACTTCCTTTATCTCTCTTTCTATAAATATTTCAAGTTGTCACAACACGTTCTAGTGTTGTCTTCGTATATAACGTGGCCCAAAAAAAAAAAAAAAAAAATTACTGACCTTTTTGTTTTGATTATTGTAAATTTTTAAAATATCTTAGTCTTAATTTCAAACCTCTTGACAGCTATTTGAGTTGCTCGATATATTGTGGGCTTTGTTATGTAAAAATTGCAGATTTATATGCTGTTTTTATTTTTATTAACATCATAAGAATTTGTGTCATAATTTTAACCATTAGCGTTGTTGCCATTATCAGAACGATAATAATTATTACACAAATTTCTCTTGTGGGTTACAGCGGTCACATTGGTGAGAAAAAGAATAGACAAGCATGTCGTAAAAGACGACTAATTAGGGGTGTTTTCCTTCTAAGTCGAAGTGCATCTGCTTGAGAGGCGAGGAACAACAGTCTGCATACAAATAAGTTTAGTTTTTAAAGAAAAAAAAAACAACAACCAAAAACAGCCCAGAAGTGGACGAACAACCAACATTTTCCGCTGGGGTTTGAAGCGGGTGAAAGCAAAATAAAAGAAAAACATACAATTGTTTACTATCTTTACGTGTTTATATATAAGGATGCTGCGTGGTCTCGTGGCATGGTGTCCGCCTCGAGTGCTAGAGGTCCCGGGTTCAAGCCCCGGTAAGGGCTAGGATTTTTTCACATGGTCTTTTAGTAATTTCCTCTGGCAATGGGTAGTAATACCTGACGCCCGTTTGTATTGTTGCGCACGTAAAAAATCCCTTGGCAGTTGGAAATCGAAAAGAGTAGCCTAACGGCACTGCCCCGACAAAATTTGGAGTCAAAAATCTACCCAAAGTTTTTCAGGATCCTCGCCGGTGAATCAGAGTTCGTGCACTGCGTTGAGCCCAATTTGTGATCCTTAGAAAATAGTTTGTTTATTCGGGTGTTCTTTCTTTCTTTAATAAAAATTTACTGAATATAAACATTGGGTCTGTGTAGATATCTGTGAGGCTTCAGGGTTGTATGTGTCGTTGAAATATGTTCCCTTTTATTAGTGTGTGTATGTGTGTGTGTGTGTGTGTGTGTGTGTGTGTGTGTGTGTGTGTGCGTTAGTATTCTTTACAGAGCGTTGCTTTATGTACGAATAATTGCAGGTATATATGTATGACAAAACAGTGTAAAGAAAATAGATTAGTCATACACTGCTAGAAGGAAGAAGAGGCAGAGAAAGGGGAAAAGGCCCAATCCTAATTTTTATATTGGAAGCAAAGGCGAGCTTTCTTCCCTTTTCCGTCCTTTTTGCTTTTAGCTCTCAGTTTGTTTCTTGTTTATTGGCCAGTACATCTGTTCCTTTAACCGCTTGAAGCCTGTTTATTTCGATGTATGTATTTTGTCTTCCATTTTATTCCGGCCGGCGTGATGCTGACCACATCATCCATCTTGTGCCGATTGGTCTATAAAATATAGGTCTAGCCCTATATGCCCTAAACGCCTAAAGGAGATTAAAAGAGTCCTTTAATATCTTATTCCTGGTATGGTGTGGATTCCTCTTCTGTCAGGGGAGGCAAGGCTTCAATAGTATGAACATAATCACAAAGAGAAAAGGAGAAGGAGATGAAACGGAGTAGAGCATAATATACTGGTTTATATAATCTTATATACAAAAAATTGTCGGCTCTGTGGCTAAGTCGATGCGAACGCTTCGTAATGCCGGGATGCTGGGTTCAATCCCAGCTGCGGGCCATGCGCCTTGCATTGGTTTCGACAGTGGTATCAAGAAAGCCGATCGTCCAGAAAGCAATGGCAAACTACTGGACGTATTTGCCTAGAAAAACCACACAACAGCCAGGGTTCTGCAACGTTATGTAAAGGATACGCAACTAACCTTTAAATACAACAAATTATTTACGTATCGTTTGCGGGAATTAGCGGAACCATCCCCAACATTTATAGGCTGTCGTGGTTTTTCTAGGCAAAGATCACGTTCAGTAGTTTGTCACTGCTTTCTAAAAGGGCAGCTCTTGGTGCCACTGTTGAAACCAATAACAAACAAGCCGTAAGCAGATGGAATCGAACCAGGCACCCGTTATAGAGGAGATGAGATAAGGAATGTTTTGTGTGTGACTCAAAGTGACAGAGTATGTTGACTAATGGATGTCGTTTAAAAAAAAGTGTTTTCTTTTGATATCTTGATGCAGGTGAGCACTGCCCCAAAAGTGATACAAGTAATTTGCATTTGAGAAGTGCATATTTGTGCAACTAAAATTTGATAATATACTTATACAAGGGAATACATATATGGAAAAGGATTTTACATATCCTGAAATCTCTATATTAGACGTATTGGTTTTGTCAGCATTGGGGCCGAAAACCCGAGTTTGAATACAAGAACACAGAGGAAAGTATTCAAGGGTGAATATGATAAATTTCTGTGTGTAGTGATTCTTTTTGTTCTTTCGATAGCCAAGCTCTACAAATGCAGTTATAAATGTTTGTGTGTGTGTGTGTGTGTGTGTGTGGGGGGGGGGATTGATATCCATGGTTGTTTGAGGTTAAAAGAACCGTTAATCGGTTACATTATGTTCACACCAGTTGTTTGCCAGACTAAACTTGCGTGTCAACACCTTC